CACCCCCACCCCCAATGTAGGCAGCTCAAGCCTACATTAGACATAACTGTCCTTACAATCTGTTGTTTTGTATAATGGATCTAAACAAGCAGATTAGTTGTAATGTGTCTAAACACAAACTTACCACCTCTAAAAAAAGTACACAACAGTTAAATTAATAATGTTTTTCTATTGTAGGCTGGTGGTTTGATGCCTGTGGTCCGTCCAACTTGAATGGGATGTATTACCAAAAGGGCCAAAATGCCAATCGCTTCAATGGAATCAAATGGTACTACTGGAAAGGCTCAGGCTACTCACTGAAGACCACTACAATGATGATCCAGCCAGCAGACTTCTCGGGTTCCCTTTGAACAGTCAGATTAAAGAAAATGGGAACAACAAGACCAAAAATAAAAATTCTCAAGGGATCCAAAACACTTTGTGCGTATATTTTTATACACCTTTGTGCATCTTTCTGTGGTAGATTTTGAAATATGGAGAGTCACAGCAATACACATAGCTGTAGTATTTACAGTTATTTGAATAGTAATTAAAATGAGTTATATTAAAATGTATTAAAATATATTAAAATATCGGTCAGGCTCTATTCAGCTAGCTTATCAGATTCATTTAATTTCTTTGAATCACTTTAACAGTTGAACTATTTTTTAAAAACAGCTGCCAATGTCATTGTATAATAGAGACGATGGTACAAAATGCTGATAAACATCTGGTGAAAGGTTTTTTTGCATTGTCAACATTTTTCAAAATGTAAATGTTAATGTAAAAATACCACAAAATGTTTCTCTTATGATAACAATGTTTTGCTATAGAGATTATATGTACATTTGTTGTTTAATTTATAAGTAGATTTTAAGGTTGGTTTTAAACTTTATCATATAAGAAAGGAGATTTCTTATAGCTAGTTATTAATTTTATTGCACATGAAGGGAAATTAATTATTTTAATATAATTCTACAGTACTGGGAATGTTTTTTAATCTGCATTTTTATATAATGGTTCTTTTGAAGCTACAACAAACTACAACAAAGAAAAATTGGACAAGTTTGGAAGTGTAACTTTTCACCAGTTAACACTGGCCTTAGGAGATTAGGACATGTAATGCTTGAGTAGCTGTTATAAACCTGATATTGAATGTTAAAAATCAACCACAAGGCAGAGAGGTTGATTCTGCATTGTAGTGGGTGACATAATAGTTAAGCATAAGTCATGTGACAAAGAATAAACAGCCTTGTGGATGCTGATCTGCCATACAGCTAAAGTGTTGTTTAAGATCTTTCAAATCTTTCTGTCATTTTATCTTTTCCACAATACACAATAAATTCTACATGCTACAAAACTTGTGATTTTATTGTTGCCATTAATAGATTCAGCTGCACATTTCAGATTTAAAGCCTCAAAGGACCAATGCATGTTTAGCTACTGATGGTAAGCTAGAATGAGAAAAGCCATTGAAAGATGTAGAGCAACAAACTTGACTGTAAGACGACAGTTGAGTAATGTAATAAGTAATGTATAAAAACATCAGGGAAATGACGCAATCGAGAACAGAGTAGATTTTCCAGTGTTTGTCGTCGTAAAATTTCATAAAAAATAAACCAAAAAACGATTTAAATCCATTTTTGGATGTTTGTCTAGAATTTTTCAAACTGTAAGAAATATAAAAAAGTGACTTAAGCCTGGTTTTCACGTGCTGCATTATATATAGATAAACTGATTCAGTTTGTAACGATATTTCAAGAGATATTAGACTGATGCAAACCTCCTCTTATTCTAGTAAAGAGTAGTGTTGATCATTTGATTTACACCACTTTATTGCTGGCCTAATGCAGAGACTGTAGAGGGATAGTTAAGAGTAGATCCATCACGGCTACAAAGATTTGAATTGGTAGAAAAATGGCATAGCACCTGGCTACATGCTTTTGGAATAAAATAAATAAAAAATAACAAAAGAGAACCAAATTTTTATCACAAATTATCTGACAGAATAAAAAAAAAACAAAAGACAATACTATTAAAATCTGTTTCTATGATTAACTGGCCACAGCTGAAGGAACACCACACCACACAATAGAGGCCACAAGAATTGAATGAAAAAGGGAAGCATGTGGTGTGCCAAATGATAAAAGGCCATGGAGATATAAAATATTTGATCTGTCACAACAAAAGCCATCAGGCAATTTTAAGAGGAAACATGCTGACATTCGTCTACATTAAGACCCCAAGTCTTTCCTTGCAGGGCAGGACAGGACAGTGATTCATGAATGGCAAGTGCAGGAAGAGGCAACATCCACAATTCACACAGGATGCTTTAGGAAAAACAAGCCTACTGTAAATGGATGACTGGCAGTAATGAGACTTAAAGCATGAGTGGAATGCTTTCTAGATTATGTTTAAGGTGCCACTAAAATCTCTAAAATATAAGTCCTGGAAAAATAAAAAATATCTTTTATTGCATTTGGAGAGTAATAAATTGGAGAAGAGATTATTTAATACTGTTGAGTCATATCTGAAAAAGGCTTTAATCTCAACAGGATTTTGAAGTAGTTAAACCAATAACGATGTGAAGATAAGACGATACAGCTTTTTTTACCCTACTGGAAAAAATAAAAAGCTTTCCTGTAAACTCAATGCTGGTAGTAAATCTGTCAAAGACCCTTTTACTAGTACTGTTTGAGTAGTTCTGAACTTACCTGTGCTGCAGGAAATTGATCTGAAAGTTCATACGGCTCCTCTGGAATCCACTGCCTTTGCTCCAAAGACCAGAGTATCTACTCAAAAGAAAACATTTCAATTAGAGATAAGACAGAATCACCCCCCATCTTAACTTTGAAATAATATCAAATGACATCTTTCAAGCATTTATGGTCGACGTACCCATTCAAATGAGAGGATCCAGCAGCCACGAGCTATACCCAGCAAAATATTGAGAGTCCGCCTGTGTTCCCCAGACACCACATGAGTTGTGCTTTCACAAACACGGTCAACAATTAAAAAACCACCGAGTGCTTTCACCACTTGAACCACTGTGTTCTGCTTCCTACAAGAGACGAATAATAAGAATTAGATGCCTTCTTTTACCAACTTGTCAATTAACACAATAAAATTAAAGAATATGAAGCTGGTGGTATTCAAAGAAGCACATGCCTACTTACTCAGTAGGCATGCTTGTCATGACGAGTGTTCTCAGTGCCTGCAAGAAACATGAACCCAAAAAGCTTACAAGAATGAACAAATCTGTGTTCACATAAATGACAACCACACACTGCCAGCAAATGTTTGAAATGTCTGTGTTCATTGGTTTCACACCTCTTGTATTTTTCTTGGCTACTTATAATCCTTAGTGTTACAGGAACAGCCATCACATTTTTGGCAATCAAGCATAAGTGGAGTAGATACAGCGTTTTGATTAAAAATGAATATTTGGATTCATTTGTTTCTTGGCTTGTGTTTAATAGGGACACAAATCAGAGAGGAAGAGAGAAATCTGTGAACAACAATCTTCACTTTAAAGTAGCCAAGCAGCAGCTACACAAAGAGACCAGGAAACTGAAACTGCGTATTATATCTCTTTTGTGTGTAAATATTGTAATTTGATTTTTGTTGAATGATGCAGCACTGAACAAGTAAAAGAGTTTTTCTTTCAGTGGCAGTGCACTTTTTTTTACAAACCAGCTGAATGTTTTGTTGCATTGATGCAAAAACGTCACGGCCATGGAAAGATGAAAAACACTTTCAGAGACGCTGACTACTGTAACAACAGTAAATGTACAGCCTGGTGGATGTGGTCTATTTAACCACATGCCTGGCACTAATACAGAAAAATATCAGCAGCACAAACACCTAACCACAAACAGGACCACCAGACCTTTCCTGCCACACACTGATGTCAGCCCCCACCAAGCTGGAAGTCAGGGGTTAAGGTCTGCTGAGAACAGTAGAGCCAAAACCGTCCACGAGCTGACCCCATGCTGGTCAAAAAACACATTATCACCAAGAAGGCCCCTTGGGAAGGCAGTCAGTAGTTGTGTCACTATTTTGATATTGCAATTTATTTTATAGACATTGAATGACTGGGGGAAAAAAGTTGATGAAACAAGCTCATTTTAAATTCTTTCAAGCCAAGTCAAACAACTGAAAGTATGTGCAGATACTCTGAAAGTAGCCTTAAAGAAACTACCTTATGCAGTGGTCATGTTCTGGCACAAGAAAAGGGCAATGAGAATGAATTAGCCTCTGACAAAGAGCTGGTGTGAACCAGCAAAGCGGCAGAGCACAAACACTTGCAGCACAAATGAAGGAAATTCTTCTCAGTATGACTAGATCTCCTTGATGGCAACTATTCAGCACAAAGTTAAAATGAAGCAGTTCAGACAATCACGGAGAGATCAACTGGATCCACTGAGAGCCAACAACAATAAAACAGCCTGGTTATTACTTGCTGCAACACAGAATAATTTACATGAACATTAGTGATGTTTACATAATATTTCTTGAGCATGTTAGAGAGTTGTTTAACCTATAATAAACTAGGAAAACGATAGGGATGATATACCAGCAACTTTGATAGGTACATCTGTTTAAACTGAGCAACAGAGTGGGGAAGAAAGATGATGAAGTGGCACTATTGTTGGTGCCAGAAGAGGGTTTACAGAGAAGGGTCGCAGAACGTGGAAATTCTCTGAGTAGGGATGCGAATTGATAAGAAGTCAGTGATTCCGTGTAATGTGCCATGTTACAAAGCTAAAACTGGTTTCCTGAACAAAATGAGTTCACTGTGCTCAAATGGCCAACACTTTCACCTGATCTCAACCCAATAGAGGACCTTTGGGATGTAGCGAAACGCAAGATTCACAACATGAATGTGCAGCTGATAAATGTGGTCAATTATGTGATGCTATCATGTCAACATGGACCAAAATCTCTGAGCAATGTTTCTAGCATCTTGCTGTTTTTCTGTGCAGTGAAGAAATAAAGCAAAAACCAAAAGCAGATCCAACCCAGTATTAGCAAGGTGTACCTAACAAAGAGACCAGTAAGTGTACATCCACAGCTTTAGTGCCTTAGACATAAAATCACAAAGTAAACTGACAATGCCAAAATATGATCTTTTAAAGAACTGCATCTTTGTGAGATATCTGAGAACACGCAAAGGTAGGAAGTGTAAGACAAAAGAAGAGCAAAGGTCCCATTAACATCTGAGTTGTATTTAATAAGTATAAGCTGATGACATGTCCAGAACTTTAAAATTATGTTACAAATTTGCAGTTTTAACCTAAAGCTGTGTAATATGAGTTTTAACTTTTATATAAGCACTTTTAAAGATAAGACAAGAAATTATATCTGATGACTGTATTTCTCAGGACTATAGGGAGATTAATCCATCATCACAATCTTTACAAAACCAAAACAACAATTACAACCTCTTTGTAATCAAGCTATAATAAAGTTAACTAATAAAAGATCCTCTGGGGATATGACATCATTTTCATCTACAGCTTGTTGAGGTTACGAGTGTAACGAAAACACAACCCAGGTGCATTTCACAAGCACAAGGAAGTTGTATGGTACCATCACAGAGGCAAAACACAGGAAACCCTAAGGAGCCGACAGTACAGTTAGTAGCGTCAAACGCCTACAGCCATGGAAGTGTATGACCTTATGGAGGAAATACTTATTAGGAAGTTACACACACAAGCGATGTTTGGTTTACTTCCTAAACTTCCTATATTACAGACAAACATGGGGAAAATAATCTTTTTGTTCTCTTACACCATGTTCCCTTTTATCTATCTATGTGACGAAGGAAGATAAACAATGGGCTGTACAAAGCCCACACTGGCTGTAAGCTGGAAGTAACCACAGCCACTAAACTAAAGAAAGAAAAGTAATATCAATGTGTGTCTGAAAGGGTTAATATAGGCAATTTAGCTGGCAACAAAGCACAATAAAGAAAGCGACTATATAAATACGAAAATAAGAGATTTATAATTAAAACTGCAAACTCCCATACACGAGCAATATCTTTAATGACTCAGTAAACCTCCCACTGGTGGCATTATACTTGTAACATCCTGTTTTTTGCAATTGCTTTCCAATTTTCCCACAACACAGTAGGAAATGTACCGTAAACACGCATTGTTCAGTGCAAAAATAATGTCTTTCAATTAAGGCATGGAGACTAAACTGTCAAACTGAAGAGTTGAATTCAATTACACATTTAGAACCAGATGTGATGTCTTCTTACCTTTGTTTTGTTAACCATTTTCTGTAGAGTCAAGCTGACTTGCTTATTGTAATTTCCTTCAGCTTCAGTTAGGCTCTCTGCAAAACCAGCTGCAACTGTACATTCATTTCCTCTACCTACATTGGAAAACAAGACAATTTAAAACTGTGTGTGTGTGGTGGTGGGGTGGTTTTACACGAGCTATCACACAGCAGGTGCTGTTTTGTATGTGTGTGCATTCATGTCTGCGCATTTGTGCACAGAAACATTAAATGAAAGCTGCAACTTTACACTACTTACTACCACATGACACTGTGCATTTTGATTTCTCTATAATTTTAACTGATCAGGCTGCCCAGGATTACAACGTGCTTACTTCATTTAGTTCCTGGACAGTAAATAAAGCACTTAAATTTAAATGATCTGTTGA